TGGTCCCTCTAACACTACAAGAATTTGCATCTCTAGAGCCGCCCGAAGTCTTCCGGGAATACTGCCTCTGGACATGCTGCCGGTGCTTCACGGACGGCAACCGTATGCCGGCCGAGCCCGCGACCCAAGTCTGTCGAAATGACGGCGACCGGCCCTGCTCTCGTGGTTATGGGCGACACGGTATCCATGTTGGGCCGTGTCAGTGGTGCGTGGTTTGGATGCCTAGGTTACTCTTGTTGGCTTGTATGAGGGCGGTTGAGATTGATGAGGTCAGGATGTGGTGAGGATGGGAGAGGACGTCTTGCGGTTACGAGGTTTGAGACCCGTACAGTAGAGAGGGTTATAACAGAGAAAACCCCGCATCTGATAGTATAGTCATATGAACACAGTCATCTTGACAATGGAATGAGATTGGCTTAGCCGATCATCGACTGAGTATCATTCGAGGAAACCCGCCTCTACCACCGGTCCATACTGCAAATACTCCATCAAAGCCTAGGGAGTGTCAGGTTCACCAACCGATAAGATGTGATAGAATGACCGCTTCGTCGCCAGTTGTCGCGCGCTCTCGTAGGTGCTGCTACATCTACTTATGTAATCACGTTCAACTTTCCCCAAGTAATCAGGAAGAAAACCCAGAAGGGCAGTGATGAGAAGCGAGACTCTGACTGTTGGTTGCCTCCCCTTGTCGTCTAAGCCTCCTCCACCTCATGAACTCATCGTCTGATGTCTTATTTGCTTGGGACCAACATCACGTTGCAACCTGGTGGCCGAAGCTCATTCACCAGAACGCAATATGCTAGGATAAAATGCCTCTGAATCATTGCCTTTCTACCTCTTCATGTCAACATCATCTCCTTTGGGTTGGCTTGAAAATGAGATAAATACTGATCCGGATCCTGACTTTCAGTATTTGGATCCCTCTCACATAGTATCTTTCTCACTTACACAGCGAACCTCCTCTGATATCATCAGGTAATTTAAAACGTAAGAGCGACTTAATATCTTGAACACTAAATATCTCGAACTGCCACCATGGCGAAACTCCGGAAGATCAGGATGCCAGTCTTTTGGAACAGTAACCGCCCGTGGAATCTGAGAAGACGGTGCTGGTGGACTTGTTGCAAGTGCGGTACCAGGAACGAATTTGAAGAGGGCCGCACCTTGACACAATGCCGGAAAGCGGATTGCCCTGGAGGAGACGGTCCACATTGGGGGCCTTGTAGTTTCTGCTCGGCATGGGAGCCGATGAACCTCTTGGGATGAGGAGTGATATGCTACTATAGTCGTCTTCGTCATCGACGGCGACGACGACGGCTATAATATAATAATCTCTAGGGGTTGCCAGTGACAGGCAGTCCGTAGGTTGAATAAGTCTAAGTCTCAGGCACTTGAGTAGTGGAGTACTCATTCGGTACCTCAGAGATAGAACGTAGTCTGAAGTTAGCAAGTAGTTTGAAGTTAGTAGTTGGTCTGAAGAAACTCCAATAGTCTTGAATATTAACCGCATGATTCACATCTCGGAGTGTTTGTGAGACAACCTATCAATCGGCAGAATTCACCATGAGAAGTTGAAGAAAATAAGTCGAATTATCTGTCAAGTACCAAAAATCACAACCTCGGATCCCTCATGCACATAGCAACCATGTAATAAGAGCCAGATCTTCACCATAAATTTCTTCCAGCCAGTCATGTACTCGAAAATTGAGTCCTCCTCCAACCCCTCGAGATATCCCAGCATCTCCCAACCCACCCGTCTATAGATGACGTTCTAAGGGCAAGAAATGCTACCGAACTGGTTCTTTGTGGCTTGCCACCAGGTTGACTCAACCATGCCGGCATTACATCCAACACCGGTGGTGAAACTCCAAGCGAGATTGCCGTTGCTACCGCCGCAGCTGGGACTGCTGACGGCACAGGCGCCGAAGCGCTTGAGGTTATCCCAGAGGCCGCCGCACTTTCCGGGGACGTCGTCGACACCGCTGGCGGTGATGGACCAGCGGTTTTGTGAGTGGCTGCAGGTGGCGGCTGAGGCTAGAGGAGCGATGGTGGCTAGGGCGAGGACGGCGGTCGAGGTTGTGAACTTCATTTTATGGTGGTCTTGTAGGAGTAATCTGATGATTAAGGAGGAGAGAGATCGTATAGATGTTTTAGGGGTGAATATAATGAAGCTCTGTAGTGAACTGTGTGATGAGTGGTGGTGGTGGTGATGAGACGAGGCCACCTACTAAGTGGCGGTTCATGAGACTTATATCAGTCAGAGAGATTTCGATTTCCGAGGTCGCTACGAGCTGCATCGTCTCTCAGTGCGCCGTCCATCTAGCTCAAGGAAGCTGCCTAGAACGGGTCTCACGACAGCCCTGCAACGGCGATGGAGACAAGGGAAGACGCAGGCATAATCATCACGAGAGCTCTCGACTGTTACCCTGGGCTGTAAGCTGATTTGATCCACTGCGAGATAGAGTGGACTCAAACACTCGGCAGAGCCCGGCCCGGGAGCTTCATCTTGGGAAGTCACGAGTTGTCAACTTGAGTGAGTGTGAAGAGTTCCCAAGCGGTGAGGCTGACGGTCTGGGTTCTGAGCATCCTTGTATCTGAAATCTGATATTCTTATCGACTGGCATTACTTCGAGACCCTGAACCCATGGTCCCAAGAGGTGTTCAGGGTTGCATCCAAAAGAGGTAGCTGTCCCCGACGAAGAACGGGATGAACTAGGCTACAGAAGGTGCTTTGCTGGGGAGTCCGACCATCACTATGCGAAAAGGGTCCTGATTTGGGACAAAACTGTCAGATATACGAAGACCTCGACGGGACCCGTGGGGTTGAGGAGTACCGCAACACGATGGGGCACGGGTGTCAATATTCGGCTTACTGTGGGCCAAGCCGAACTCTTTGCGGGCCATTGATTCTTCCCGTTGCTGACAGTTCGGTGTGTCGGAAGCGGCAAGTCAGCCTAGATTTCCTCAGGGGCTAGAGGTTGGAGGCATAGCGACATGGTTCGTGAGGTTGGCGATCCGTGATATTCTTAGGTGCCAAGTCTCTGGAACTATCGGCCTCCATCACCATGGAGAATGCTCAGCGGCAGCGTGTCGGCTTCAAAATCCCATCAACTGGCGGTTCAAACTGTGTTCCTGTCGCGCTCGGCCAAATGGTCCGAAGCGACATGGATGCCATTGACGATGGTGTAATAGGCCAATTTTGGCACTAGACCTTGCGGTAATCTGTTCACTAATATCAAAATATCAATTGGTTAAACTCTGCAACCACATCCTTCTTCAATAAGCTCTTCATCATCCCGGAGAAACAACGTTTGCGGGCATCTCACGTTGGGTCTGCGAGTAAGGTCGTATGGAGTACGAACCCACCACTAGCTTACAAGTGGAGTTTTGCGCGGGTACCTGTTTACCCATGGATAAGGCCCCACGCGCTTGGCGATGGAACAGGTTCCAACCTACCATTGCGCCTCTCTACTTTCCCAATGTTCACCACGAAGTTCGTCGGATGCCATGCCGGGATGTGCCGCACTATTTACTTGATTTTCCATAGCGAGGAACTAACATCTTTCAATTAGGGCCCTCGTTCACACTTGCCAAGGACTTGGGCGACTGCTGGCAAGGTAGTTGAATTACACCTTTGAAAATCTTATTACTTCTTGCCAGTCCTCGATAAACAGCAGGAAAGCCATATCAAAATCGGCCAATCAGTGTAGTGCTATGCTCATGGAGAGAATACGCAAAGATTTCTTCTAGCTTGAATGACCAAACCAATTGGTCCTCACGTCAGTAATCATCATCGCGCTGCTAGGACACGAAGTAGGCTGCCGCGAAGCACATGTCGGTCAACTTGTATTTAAGGGGAAAGAGCCATGCTCGAGTACCGCTGTTTCCTTCTCTCCTGAAATGGTGCAGGTGAAACCTACAGCATTGGTAGATTCTTGGCTACTTGGCACCAAGATTCGAGGGCAACAACACAGCCTTGTGCTGCGTGCCACTGTCTGAAAAACCTACCGGTACCGCCATTTGTTAACGTTCCCAATACTTTTTTCCTGCCTGGCCTTATGATCAGTACTACTGGAATAATCGAGCATTTGTCGGAAGTCTGGTGTTGCATGAAGGAGAGAACCTGACATACCCGGATAACACCTTTCGTGATCTAGCTTTTCCTAGCATTGGCGATCTGCCACCTTCAGTTGCCAAGGTGGCTGACGGCACCCCAGTCGAACTATCCCTACAGGCGGCAACGTTGGTAGCGCGTTGTGAGAGGCAAGCGTTCAACATTAGTAACATAACAGATGGCGACGGTGTGTGGTACTATAACATTCAGATACCAGTTACCTGCACTGATGGGACGTCTGATGCGATGACTGCTTCCATTATTCGTCCCAGTACCTACTGAAGATTCGAAAAAGTGGCCAAGTGCCTATGCAATAATCTGGGGATTCGAGGAATCCATGTGGAGTTCCCAAAATATTAACAGCTCGGTTTGTGCCATGCAGGCTTTCCACAACCGTAGCGTCTTGGTATCTGCGCCTTCAGTATCTAACGTCTACTTATGGGGAGGTTCTGATTATTCGACAACCGATGTCGAGTCATTGCAAGCCTGGAAGTGCCGATACTCCTCGTGGGAGAGGATCATGGTGTCTGTCTAGATGGTCTCCGCCAACGGCAAGCTTGTTTTGAACAACACCAACCCTCCACGCCCCGATCGCTCGACATCAACTCCGTGAAAGCGCCACATCCCAGTGCCCTTTCTCGATCCTCAAACCGATGGATTGGAAGCGGAAAGTTTTGATAGCGCTTTTCCGGAGGTGGCTCGGACGCAGGGCCTGGTATCGTATTTCAACGCTTCCAACATCCTGGTCGCGCCTTACGGGCAGGTCCCACTCGAAGCCTTTGGTGATCCGTAACAGAGCTGGAAGATTCTCGAGACCCTGAACTACAATTGCGCTCTTCTCAGTGCACAGATCCTCAATATTGAGAATCGACTGAGAGTAGAAGAAATGCAAAACGAGGAACTAGAGCCACTGAGCGCAGTCCTGATCAACAACAACGCCAAGCGACTCGTCCAAAACCCAACGACGACCTACCTTCTCGTAGGAATTCTAAGCTTTGTTGGCATAGTCCATATCTTCATGCTCTTCTCGTCGGCTTTACGACGATTCACGAGGTGGCGAAAGGGATTGCTCGATATGGATGTTCAAGGGCTGGCACCTGATGGGTTTAGCAGCATTGCAATGGTGGCCGCTCTTCTGAATTCCTCGAACTTTGCGAAGCATGTCCCTGAAGATTCGTTCAAGTTGTCAAACAGGCTTTCATCTATACGCTTTCGTATGGGATGGTTTCGAAGGGAGTCGGATCGGACGGTGCACTTTACTGTTGGGGTTATGGTTATGGACGATGATGACTTCGAATTCGTGGGCAGTAAGGAGACCGTGGGTGATGAAAACTTGGGTCACGAAGAAATGAACAGGCGAGACGAGGACGACCCAGACGAGGACAGCCAAGATATGGATAGCGAGGACGCTTTGGAAGGCGAAGAAAGATCAGAGTTTGAGGGTATAGGCATGCCTGTTTTCACAGCATAGGAACGCTGGTGCTTATCCACTCCTTTCTTTTCTTCTTATGTTTGCGATGATAGACTTACTTGGATTTGCTTCCATGTCAATACAAACCGAAACCTCAAATCAGACCCCAATTACAATAGCGACCGTTCCCGTGATATCCGGCCTTAGAGCCGGCAGTCGTCCGCGACTCCCGGATACGACCCCACTCCGCTCCGATCTCAAGCCCGCCGACCAACGGCATCCTTCCAGACCATACTCTCCGCCCGACTTCCAACCACAAAACAAACCAACCCGCCAAATATCGCATATGATAATCCCACACAAGAACCCATCCAAAAGCTCCCCACAACCAATCCCCAGAAGTAAAAAAAAAAAAAAAAAAAAAAAGAAAAAAGAGTTCGCCCCCCCGGTGGCGAACGGGGGCTACATCTCTTGGTGCACATGCTGGGACTCGAACCTTGACCCTCCTGGTGTAGGCTAAGCCAGCTGAACAGGAAGCTCGCCCGTAACCATCCCGCCAAACGGCAGCTTTGACCTGACCTCGCAAGCCTGTGAGGCGCCTGCTGCCGTTGGTGACGGGAATGGACTTGAGGGGGTGTATATAGGCTTCCTTCCTGGGTGGATTCACTCACTGAGGTAATGGGGAAGGGTTATCAGATGAATATGGAAAGGTAGGTGCGGTCACGTAGGCCTCCTGGCTCCTTCCTCCAGAGCTCCAAGCCGGATTAATCTGCATCCTTTCGCCGCCAAAGACTAAACCAGGATCCCGAAGCCTCACAACCACCAAGGCCGGACCTTGATTGAACCCCTCCTCCGTCATCAATCAATCAATCATCAGCCTTAACACGTTCTAGCCCCCCTCACCCTTCCCTGACTTGACAAACAACCCAGCTCGAAAGGCCTACACCCAGTCTTTGGTACCGTCGAAACCCCGCCGCATGAACTCCTCTGTAGCGGCGCGAGAGGTGACTGGTCGCGAGACTCGAGCGGCCGTATCCGAAGAAGCTTGGTTCATGCGTGGCAGACCGGGGTGAGCCCGCTGGGGTCCCAGCCGGCTGCGCGGCGCCCCGGACCGGGGGTGTGCATTGGGGGAAGATCCTTGCGTCGGGGGGCCTTGCATGACAGCTGCGTAATGGAGGCTCAAAGAGGCGGGGGAGAAAAGACAATATGATTGCGGATGCGGCGTCTGTCGGCCATCCAAGAGTCACTATAGGCACAATCCAGATTCCTGCAGAACCAGAGGGCTCTGACGCTCAGTTGTAGGCAATTCATCTTGCTTCTCCAATTTCGTCTCCAGGCTTAGCTATCTCTATCTGCTCAAGCCATGCTATGTGGTATCTAGTGTTACAATGTCCGTATCTTAATGAAGGTATCTTGATGCGCCGTGAAAGGTCATAATCCACGCAATCGTCATACTTGGCGTTCTTCGCCCTCTTTCCGCAACTCCAGCCACTTTCTGGGGGCACTTTGATGCGTCGGGCTGTCTCCTTCCTTACTTTTCCCAGCTGTAATCTCCCGACAAAAGAAATAATAATCTTACACATTAGTAGTTGGTCTCTTCAGGCGTTTCGCTCCAGCATTCGAAATCCAGATACTTCGAACCCAACACTCAAATAATTCCATGCATGACAACGGCAAGGACTGGTAGGCCCCACGCGATACGACCTCTTGGTTTGCTGACCATACCGCCGTTCATGAGCAAAGCATCGAGAGGGTTCACCGGGGCTGAAGAGGTGCTTTGCGGTGAGGCCTGGTTCTCAGTCGTTGTCGTTGAAGTGACAATAGTGGTGGGAGGTATGATAGGGGGCGCCTGACTAGATACTGGCGGTATCGCTGTGGTTGCCGGAGGCAGAGGCGCCTGGCTCGACGGCGGCAGTATAATAGGCGTTGATGTTGATAATGATGTCGTTGGTGGCGGCGGCGGTGGAGCGACAGACGTCGTAGCCGGCGGAGGCGGGGGTGGAGGAGGAGCAATGGCGGTTGTTGAAGGCAGAATGATTATCGTTGTGGTAGATATCGTCTGCACTGCCGATGACGTCTGTTGGTTGAGTGCGCCGCAGAGCAAGTTTACCAGGTTTCCGGACAGAGCTTGGCCAAGTATCGTGTTGACCTGTACTTGAACAGACTGACAAACGTCCTGGAGATTACTTTGCATGCGAGTCAGGCCATTTCTGCATTTCTGGGAGCACGTTCCCGTGCTACCAAAGTCGGTGGCTTCGCATCCTTCGATGGGGTTGTTATATGACAAAAGGCAACCCAGCGGGACGGAGAGCTCTGTAATCAGCTGGAAATTAGACAGGCTGAGTGGTGTGCTTCCGACGCTGATTGTTGCTGCTGTTGCTGCTGACGCCAAGACTAAGAGCTCGACCAAGCGCCGCTGAGGGCATTCGAATATCGGTCTCCTCATTTCGGGTGTTTTCGTCCGTCGGCTGTGAATGAGATCGCGTTCTGGCGTGGCGTAGCCGCCGTTGGGTGTGTTTGAGATGATTTTCCCACTCGGGCGTTGTTGATTGTGAGATTCTATTCGTATATTGGTTGTAAATGTTTCGTGGCAGATGGTCGAATCGTCGTCGACAGGACAGTGACGAAGCGGCCAGAAAGACGGTAGCCAACTGAACTTGACAGACCAGGATTTGGCTGGGAGGCACTTGACTTTTGGGGATGGAATGACAGAAGCGTGGCAGTTCGGGCGGCGGGCAGTGAAGGCCAGAGGGTCGAAACGTTTTGCGTGTCAGACAGAGGCTGCTGGGGATGACGGCACAATCGGCTGGGAGAACCACGTCAATGCGGGTCGCAGGGCCGGCAGGGTCCAGAGCTTAGACGACCAAACGGTTGGGTATCCTGGGGCGTTGATTTGAAGGTTTTGGTGTTGTCTGGCTGTGAAGCTGCTGCTGCTGAGGAAGTGCTTACAGATGACGATGGTGTGAAGGTCGCGGGAGTGCGCTCTCTTTTGGGCGAGCTCGTCAATGCCAGCAGGCCGCTTTGGTGTATAGTCGAGATCTGGTGATTGGGGAGGCTTGAGACTAAGAGAGTCGTTGGTGATGAAGCGTGTTTCTTGTCTTAGCCGGCATGGACCATGCGCTGGTCAGACAGGGTTTAGGGGAGCCTCTCTTTTCTACCACATGGGTAGAGGATGGGCGGAGAAATGGACCGTTTGAAGAGAAGAGATCCAAAGGGATGACTGGTCGGTGGGATTATTGACGGCGAGGTTGCCGATCGTGATTCACCGTAGCGAAGAAGGGTTGCACTAGCAGACTAGCAGACGAGCAGACTTTAGGTCGGACCAAGTCGGGCAAGATGAGAGGAAATAAAGAGGCAAAAAGGTTCAGGAGCCGCCTTTGCGCTGTTGGAGGGTGAAGCTTCGTTGGTCTGTCTATCCGTTTTCTCGCCTTCAAAGTGGCATGCAGTCCGGACGGATGGTGTTTGTCCGAATGTGAAGACGTCGCTGATTGGAAGGGTCGGAAGCTGTAAGTCAAGGAGTTGGTTGATGAAGCCACTTGGGCGTCGGTGACACTGGGCGACGGGCAGTTGCGTCTGTGTCGGCGTCGGTCCGGCTGGGACTGGGAATACGGCAAGGTAGGGTACCTTAAGGTAGGGAGAAGGGACGGAGCGAACAGAGGAAGGGAGAGTATCCGCAGGAGAAGGAGGGCGAGGGTGAGGGTGAAGGGTGAGGGCAAGGAGGTGCGATCAAACACTGCTGATCTTGAGGTTGGGCGATCCGAGGTTTTGTGAAACAGAGTTGCTGCCGTCCGCTGCTCAATGACACCCAAACACGCTGCTGTGGCTCTGGACTTTGAGTTCCCTGGTCAGACAGAAGAGAGACGCGGAGCCGAGTGTTCGGGGACGCAAGGAATGCAGGTGGCCTTGATGGAGAAGTGGGCGCAACAAGATAAGTAATCTGTAGACAACAGGTTGAAGAAGACTGGACGAACAGATGAGCAGCTCGCTCAGATATGAGGACGGCGAGTGACGAGGTCGGAGAATAGTTGAGGGAACGGGAAGACACTAGTCGACTGCGTCCTTATGGCTCTATTCGTCAAGAAGACCCTTGTCTTTCTTTCAGTCTTCCCTTCTTCGGGAAAGTCGTCAAGAAAAATGTCCGTCATACTTGTTGATTTGCAGCCAACGAGCTGGACTGATGGCATGTCTCTGGATGGATCATGGGAGTTCTCCGTAGGTAAGGTATATGGTGAACGGGGCAACCCCTGCGCAGCCGCAGTTCCGTGCAAAGGCACAAACGCCAGGGCGACATCTGACAGGTTGCAGCATTTGGGACGTCAACGGAGGCTGCAGAGGCTGCAAAGTCTTGCAAAGAAGCAGGGGCTCCTTGGTGAATCCTTGAAGTCTGTGAACCAGTCAGTCTGCAGTTATGATGAGTAAGTGGTGAAAGAGTGGTGGAGTGTTGGCGGGAGGGAGAAGAACGAAACACTTTTGGCGTTTGAAGTCAAGGTGCAGCTAACCCCTTGTGGGTCTGTGATTGGCCTGTGTTGCACCTGGGGGAGGCCCTTCCAGCTGTGGCCTGCCGCCTACCCACCCAAAGCGCACAGGGCCGTTTGTGGCCAGGTACACAGTACACCGTACCTTACAGTGGAGGAAGAGCCACAGACTCGTCGGTTGTGCCCGCCCGGGGGCAACTTGGGGGAAGCCATTGGCGCCTATGATTCGTCCAACAAAAGTCACTGGCTCACAGCTGAGAAGGAAGTCTGGGGTGTTCCTGGCCAACCATTTTCTCACTCTGCGCTCACTCACTCGCTGCTCCTCGTTCATCCAGTCACTGTAAGCTTTTCCTGCCTACGGGGACCTCACGAACTCTGTCCGACGTCGGTCTCATGAACTCTGAGATGATCTCATGTTCATTGGTTGGCTACTTAGTTGAAATACTACCAGTGAGAGCTGTGATTTGAGAGGCCGACCAGCAACAGTCGCAGCTCACTCAAAAAGACTCATCCTCAATCCATAGGCTTACTACTACAGGTCGATCGCACTCACTCATCCGCAAACATGTTCGTCCGAAAGCTGCCTTTCACTGCGTTTCTTATTGATGACTTCTTCGTCATCAACAAGACCTCTAGAAGTCTAGAGCAATATCGCGTCTTCGCTAGTACGGACCGCAAGTCTTGCTGACGACTTAATTCATTTACGCAGGTGGACCAATACTTATTCCGACACGCGACCACGTAACAGAAGCCGTCCACGGCTTCCCCCACAACGGATACCTCTTAAAATAGTACTGGGAGCATCGAAGCAAGAAACAAATGGCTTCCAGCCACGTTTAAATGCTGATAAAGCCCTCCCTACTTCGACTTCATACTTATAATTCTCATGCTCTCCCGGCTCGCATGATGCTCCTCATGTACTGTCTCCTCCAACTGCTTCAGATGAACGAAATGATACGACTCCTCTTATTCTCTAGCTTTGGTCAGAGCACACACTGATCTAACGGCACCACCGTAGCGAGTGAGATGTCGCTACCAGGGAAATACGTCTTCCTCTCGACTCATCTGTGAGTAGGAAGAAAGACAAACTCACAGGAATACCTTGTATGTCGCTCTTGGTGAGACCTCACAATCATAAATAATGAGATTAGACGCCCCATGCTGCGCCACTCGTGGCTCATTCGGTTGAGATTAGCAAACCCGGGGAACTGGGCATCGTGGAGAGCGCACTGATGCACATCGCGGCCACATCTACTTCCTTGGTTATACCTTAAGTTACCGTGCCTCAACCTTATCGTTACCGCAGCGCGCCACCACCTCATCATTTCATTTTTCGTGTCGCCAGCCCGGGGAGGTGAGAGGCCTATGATATTGAGAGATTGGGATTCCCTAGGCATTTACGATGAAGCTTCATCGCGTCATGCAAGAGGCTTAGGCAGCAACATTCTGTGTCGACGCTCGAGCGGGGTGGGTGATACCCTGGTACCTACCCGGTTCAGCCATGTCGCATCACAGAGCCACAGGAACGAGACACCAACGTGTACTAGTGCTTTATCGCCAAATCTAACGGGCTCAAATGGAAAAGTAAGACGAGCTGCCTTTAATTAGATCGACCTCGACCTGCAATGATCACACTGGCGCGAGCTGCCATTGGTTCGGTGCCACATAAGCAATCCCCCTGTGGACATGGCTTGTCGAGCTCTCGACGGGAATGGCGCTAGCCCAAGCAGCAGCCCTGGCACTCCTCGACCGCCACCGTTGGACCAATCCAACTCTGATTGATGGTTTTTTTAGTTGGATCTCGTTGCCTGCCCGAGCCCGACATCCTTGATCCTGGAGTTGCTGTCAGCCTCCTATTCCTACCCTACACGACCTTAATTCAATAAGTTAGACTACATGCCTCCTCTTTCTGCGGACTCACGTATTTCACCGTTCTTGAAGCTACCATGCCTTTGAACGCTGGCCAGCGTCGTCGCCCATCATGCCTGGTCCCATCGCGTCGACCCGCGACCTCTTTGTAGCCCAGCCGAGGAGCATCCACCGAAAACCCGTTGCTTCGGCGCAGTACGAAGTTGTTAGGGTGCAGGATGATGATGATGAGCAGGACAGAGGGCTCCGGGGTCACGATAACAGTGTGCGACACCGCGAACACCCGGCCTTGGACGAGAACAGAGCGTTTTTGGATGAGCCTGTCGATTTCAGCAATCACCACAGACACGATGGCGATCACTACTTATCCCCAGAACATGGTCTGGCGTCTGTGATTTCGCAGAACAAAAACAGCCCTCACGTATCCGAGTTTGGCTATAGCAAGAGCCCAACGCCATCGCAATGGTCCGAGGAGTCCCGGCCTCGCATGTGGAACCCTCTGTGGCTGAGAAAGACGGCTCTCATCACGTTTGCGGTGTGTTTTGTCGCCATGCTTCTCACGACGGCTCTACTCTACCACTTCTCCGTACAGAATCATGGATTGAGCACACAGCAAGAAGTCAATCATTATGGCTGGAAGTATGGACCTACAGCTGGTTAGTATTGAGGTCTAAAGACAACCAAGTTGCATCAAACACTGACATGACATCGTTGCCAAGTTCTCGTCATCGTGGCTGCTTTGTGGCGACAGGTAGACTACGCCAACAAGATCCTGATGCCGTGGAAGGAACTACGTAGTGGTCCCTCTGATGTGCATAAGACACTTCTTCTAGACTACGTCTCACCACTGGTGACGACCAGTTTCTGGAAAGCAATCAAGAATCGCCATTGGGCTGTCGTTGGCAGCATCGCTGGCTGGGCTCTGATCCTCCTCACTGTAAGAAGCCAACTGGAGACAACGGGAAAGACGGAAGGGCGAGAACTAACGCTAATAGACCGTCTTCTCCACCGGTCTACTCATTCTCGAGCCAACGGAAGTTACAAGCGATAACGTCGATATTGTGATGACGACCAGCTTCGACGCTGGTGGATTCGATATTCTAGACATGGGACCGGGTCCTGCACAGGTGTACTACGCCATCAACTTCCAAAATTTGCCTTACCCGTCCGGTACATCAGAAGACATGGTCATTCCCCAGCTCAATGCGATGGGGAATGGTCGTCCCGATGCCAACTTTACCGCCACAACACCAGGTGCCAAGATTGGGTTCAGCTGCGAGACGCTGCCCATACAGAACGCGACCAAGACCTCGCTGCCTTGGTTCAGCATCAACGGGGCCTTCTGGGTCGCCAACATCACCACGCCGGAGTGCAACATTACCCGCGCCATCGTTGCCGCCGGCCCGGACCATAACATCTACGCAAAGCGAAACGCCACGCAGAACTACCAAGCATGGTACCAGGACTACACTTGCAATAACGGTGTGGACTGGAGCGCACCGCTGAACCCTCCTCTGACCAAGTACACCACCGAACAGCTAACCAATACCAGCCTTCCGCATCGCATGCTTTTTACCGTAGCGGACATGAGGTTTTCTCCCATGGACACGAGGCGGAACGGCCCCGCGTACATCTACATGGAAAAGATTGTGGCAGTCATGTGCAAGTATGATTACACCATGAGCAACTACGAAGTCAAATCGACTACCCTTGCCGGAGCCAAGTCAGAGGTTGCTCTGCAGAACGCCATTCAAAACACGAATGTCAATGGCAGTATCGCTGGCTTCCCGAACGGGTATTTGGGTCTCGCTGTCAGTAATTCTGCGGAACAGACCAAGGTTGGCGACGGAGGCGTGGACTTTGTCTTATCGACATCCGTTCCGACCTTCTTCCTCATGATGAAAATGAAGCGTGGTTTGTCCACGATAGGATCTTTCATGGACACGGACCTTCTAATTTCCACGGCATCCGAGGTCTTCAAGGGAATAGGCGCTCAGGTTTTGTCTCAGACGTCCCTAAAGCCTTCCAATACGACGACGCAGGGTTCCATCACATACCTGGAGAACCGCCTGCATGTCAAGGGCCTCTCGACAGCCTTGATGTGTTCCTTTTTGGGAATTCTGACTCTCATAAGCATTGCTATGATCTTCCTCCGGCCTCAAAACGTCGCACCGAGAGAGCCAGGATCGATCGCGGCGAGTGTCACAATACTGGCGGCGAGTCCGGACTTGAACAAGCTGTTAACTGGCCTGGGGTCATCACGCAGAAGTCTCATCCGAGAAACGCTATCTGGGTTTCTGTTCAAAGGGTCTCTCCGACCTGGGCCAGAGACCACATACACCATTGAGCCTAGCCATGGTCAAATGGAACCCTCACGTAGCGCAGTGCCGAGGGAACACCAGTTGATTTCTTGGTGGCGCCCTTTGGCTGGGGCCCCGTGGTTCCTGGTAGTCAGTGTCTTTTTACCTCTGGCGGCTATTGCAGCGTTGGAAATCATACAGCGCATTTCAGACAACCGAGATGGGTTCATGGAGGTGGGCACGAAGACTTCGACCGTCTTGGCGACATACATACCTGCCGCCGTGGCCATCTCCTTGGCTGGTATGTACTCGAGCTTCGAGGCTATGGCTGCCATATTTGCGCCATTTGCCGCGCTCAAGAAGCGGAACGCCATTGCCAGCCGCTCCGTATTCATGAACCTCGTCGGCAGGATGGCTCCTCACGCCATATGGGACTCTATTCGCTCAGGGCATTTCGGCGTCACTGTCATTCTTATGGCTAACATCATGGCTGGATTCCTCACCATTGTTGTTTCGGGTCTTTACAGCGTCTTGGCCGTGCAGCAGGTTGAAGGCGTTGCCCTGCAACAGATGGACGCATTCCGGCTTGACCAGACTACTCTCTGGGCCGAAGATAACCAAGCGACCGCAATCACATCGTTGATAGAGTACGTCAACCTGCCAGATCCAAAATGGACGTCTGGTGATTTGGTTTTCAACGAGATCAAACCCATGGGTCTTAGCAATCAGGCCATCGCCAATGGCCAGGTTCCGCTGTCGGCCAAGATGACGGGAATCCGCGGCAACTTGAATTGCTCCGTCATACCTGCCGAGCAACGCGAAGTTCAGCCGGTACTGTTCGACAGAAGTACCATGGAGGTTCGTCTCGGCGGCATGGCGAGTTCGGTGAGCGTCAACAATCAGACTGCCCTACTTGCCATAAATACCACCCTTCCCTGGATGTGCGGACGCAGGCCATCAAACACGACCTCCAAAACGTGGATGCAATACTTTCAGATCCCAAGCTCGGGGTCTCCGGTATATCTTGGAAAAACTTCCATCATGATTTGGAGTTTGGGAAACTCGAGTCTCGTCTATGGTGACGGTGCAATTGATACGAGCCCATCAGCTGGAAATGGCTGGCCGACGACCGACTATGATATCGGAGGTATGGGCTGTCCTACGGTAGCCGTCACATTTGGCACCGCGAGGGCCACCCCCCGGAAGGAAAAGTATAGGAACACAACGAGGACCAACTTTGACGTTGAGAGCGACCTGGCGACAATCGTGTGCCATCAGAATATTCAGGAGATCGAAGCCAACGTCACGTTCAACGCTCCGGATATGACACTCAGCAGGACGTCGCCGCCGGTGGTAGACGAGTCAACGATTGAGCTCCTACGTGCCCCAAAGTCAGACACGACGTCCTTTGAGTTCTCCCTCAACAAATTCTTTTTGGACTTTTCGACCTCGGCCCGGAACGTGACGATTCAAGGACCAAACGGCAGCAACATGACTGGTTTCGAGTCTCTCATCGATCCTTTCACGCGAGCGCTCGTCACGGGTAGGAACGGGCGGCCAATCGAGGAGCTAGCCGGCGAGCAGAACTCGCAAAATCTGATCGAGGCCTCGAACGGCCTATACAAGACGTACATTGCGCAAGCCATCGCGGCCAACATGCGCAACGCGACGAGCAGCACGGGATCAAACCGGCTGCCCACGTACCAAGGCCTCCTGGTATCTCAGAGCGCGCGACGACTACACCAGAACGCCGGGCCCAAGATTGCTCTACAGGCGATGCTGGGCATCATGGCGCTGTGTATCGTCGTGTCGAGGTTGCTGATCGACGTCAACGGGGTGCTGCCTCACGATCCATGCTCGATTGCTGGGACGGGGACGATGCTTGCCGGGAGCGAGATGGCGACGAGGAGGGTCGTTCCGGAGGGGGCGGAGTGGAGGGGCGACGGGGAGCTCGGTCGGGCTGGGGTGTTTGGTGGTGCTATGAGGTTTGGGATTGGGTGGTGGCGGGATGGAGGTGTTGATAGGTTCGGAATTGATGTTGAGGAGGAGAAGGCGTGATCATGATTCTCATCCGTAGATGGATGCAAGGAAGCGGATTTGTCTTGGAATATATATACCCGTGCTCTATGAAGCAATGAACGAAATGATAATCGATCGTATAACACTTTGACCACCCCTATAATGAAAAGAATTGGATCCATCAAACCACTTCAATTAATGGCAATATCTTGAGATTCAGAGTTGTCGAAGACTTCCCAACGATGAACACCAAGCTCGAAGCAACGCATTCCATCATCATCACACTGCCTCCGCGAGCATTCTCCCTTTTCGCGGATTTCGATCCAGTCAAACATACCTTGAACGATAGCTGGACTCAGGCTATGTGATACTGAGCCACTTAAGTTAAACATCAAGTTGTATACTTTTCAATAAGTACACTCTGTTCCGACTTCCACGTCCATCATCCTCCTGATGCGGGGACTTCTCTCGGTACGACACGAGGTTAGCGCAGTCTTCCCCAAATACGAGCAGAGGTTAGACTCATTCTTGGAACCCACCTGTGTCGGAGATTATCCAATCAGATACACTCAAGACAGCATAAGCCTGTGGATCCTGTCCGGAGGCGACCGGGGTAGCTCGACGTCGATCGCGGTTTGAATGAGCGCCTCATGACCGGAGGGGGTTTCCGGAGGAGTGGGCCTCGTAAACTCCGGGAGGATCAAAAAGAGCGCGCTCTTGCTGACGCATGTTTTGTTTTCGTTCCTGCTGCTCTGTTTCCTCCTTTCGTATCTGCTGTCAGCAGAGCATCGCCACCTATCTCCATGGTGAATCTGCCTCGACCTCGTTAGACCATCTAAGCCGTGTCCGGTCCCTTGAGTATCGTGGACCTGCAGGGCGCCGATCGAGTCAGTCCAATCCGTGTACAGGATCAGATCATTGCAAGTCACCTCAGCTAGACTTGCCGGGCTATCGATATGTCTGCCTTGGAAACATCTCCGGGCGATGACGTGCGCAAGCGCAGGGCTCATAAGAAGTCCAGAAAGGGGTGCGGAAACTGCAAGTTGCGGCGGGTGAAAGTACGTATCATATCTAAGGATTGAGTCCATCTTGAGCATTCATCTTGCGCACTCCTGTTCATGTCAGCGAGTCTACCCCTATCATTATTCGTGCAACCATCCCTCATAGGGACCCTGGAGATAGGTCTTTACAAGGGACTCTAATTGGGATGACTATCCATCTTTGGCTTTCTGTTTCCTGTTATAGTGTCTAACAATAGACATAGTGCGACGAGACTAAACCCCGATGCGTGAAATGCGTCTCGTACGGCGTGATATGCTCCTACGCCCCCACGTCCGCGGCGACGGCCCTTTCTGTGGAAGTGGCGTTTAGTGTTGATCTCTCGTCTGCTTCAACTACTCCCACACCTCCTCAAACGAGAGCTGGTCCCGCTCCTCCATCTATGGGAGCCGCTCCGCCTGCTCAGGCCCCCTTGCCGCCCCGTTACGTCCCTCCGCCGTTACCACAAACCGGATCCATGGAAAGCCCAGACGCGGCGTACCTGTTGACCCCCACAGACGTCCGCCTTCTCGAACGCTTCCAGAAGAGGACGGTCCTGAGTCTCGGCTCAGCAAAGAGTAGAACAATCTATGAGAAAAAGACCCTCCCCATCGCATTCTGCGTAAGCCCCTGAACCCTCTCTTCACCCAACACTCTTCCGAGTACATCGTAGACTAACAAACACCCAAGCACCCCGTCGTAATGCACACAGTAATAGCAATGACCCACCTCCACGACCTAACGCTCCTCACCCCCTCCAACACCCCGCCCTCCCAGGCAACCCAAACAGCCCTAGCCTACCACTGGTACCGCGGCGTCTCCCTCCTCCACCGCAAGCTCTCCAACCCCATCCTTCCCAGCGAGCGCGACGCCCTCTGGCTCGCGGCGGCCTTCATCAGCGTCGCCGCCTTTGCAAACGTCGCCTCCCTCGCCGCGCCCCGCGACGCCTGGCCGCTGAGGCAGGGGTGCCCCTCGGACCTTGACTGGCTCAAGCTGGGCGACGGGAAGAAGCAGGTGTGGAAGATGACAGATACGATACGCGCGCCGAGGGGTGTGTTTGCGGATGCGGCGAGCGAGTTGTATGCTCACTTGATGAAGCCCGTCGAGGCACCGTGTTGCAGCATCAATGATGGACCCGAGGAAAAAGGGAAGACGACGGATGCATGGAGTCCTCCCCTCCCAGAAGGTTTCGCAGACCTCTTCGACCTCATCCAGGACCCAACCCACGCGAACCCGTACTTCACAGCCGCCGCCTCCCTCGTCGCCTGCTGGCGCGTGCCCCCGGCGGTGACAGCGGACCCGGACTCGATCGAGCTGATCAAGCCTTTCATGGGCTTCATCAGCAAGCTGGACCCGCGGTTCCGGCGGCTGCTCGAGGAGAAAGACGAGCGGGCGATGCTGCTGCTGGCGTACTGGTTCGCGCGGGTGTGTGATCGAAAGCACTGGTGGATGTGGAAGCGCGCCGTGCTGGAGACTAGGGCAATTTGCGAGTATTTGGAGGCGAGATGGCGGGGGAGGTGGGAGGTGAGGCTTGTTGCCTTTCCGAGGATGATGGCGGATCAGTGCGGGTTGTTGTGATGTCCCGTCATGTTGGTGAAGCATCTTGAGCTGTGAGTTGAGATGAGTGAGGATGGTCATTTCACTAGAGCGGTTAACTAAAACTTGGAAACACTGACAGTTGAGACTGGTTGGAAAAGTAAATATAAATGATGATTGAATGAATGAACAAGACACGCGCAAAAGCGTGCCTCCTGGGAAGTGTACATCTTGGTATCGCTCAAACCCAATGCTAATTGACCAAAAAAATCATATCGCCGCTCAACGCCCAATTACACAAATACCAAGTGCAAGTTCCTTACGCGCCGACCTTGACTTCCTGGCTGTTAGCGGTCTTCTCGCCGTTCTCCTCATCTTTGGCTTTCGCTGCGCCATCTTCGCCCGCAGCAGAGTCGCCGTGCGGATATAGCGGCTTGCTGGGGTCGTAGCCAACAGACTTGACTATCCCCAAGCCTTTGGTCCTGCCCTCTCGGAACAATAACCGATCACCAGGGGCGAGATACTCGGGTCGCTGGACGAACCGGAACGCCACCGTTGCTCTGTCGCCAGTTCGAATGTACGGGCGGTCAACATCAATTATCGCGCACGTCTGCGAGACTGGTCCAACATGAAGCATGGCCTGATACTTTGTCTTGATGGTGGTCGCGTGAGAGAGAATCAAGACTAAAGACATATCAGCTTGAGCATCGGATTGTATACTTGTTTGGTATGACTCACCTTCTGCTATGAATTCTCTGTGAACCTTGGGAGCTTGCTGTCCCTCGAGCTTGGGCAAAACAACCATGCCTTTCCTGACATCCTTACGCCGGACTTTCTTCAAGGCGAAGGACGCCGACTGCCCCGCAGAAGCAGCCGGAACCCCCAATCGCTTGCGTTCGATGGAACGAATACTGGTGGACGTGAACTGCCCCAAGGAGTCGGGACCGATGAGCACGTTGTCACCGGCGTGGATCACACCGGCCTTGATGATTCCGGAGACAACTGTGCCGACGAATGGAACCGAAAATGTGTCGTTGATATGGAATTCAAAGGGCGCCTCGGAATCGTAGCGTCCGTGATGCGGCAAGATGTTGAGGAATGTTCGGACCAAGTCGAGGTTCTCACCCGTGACATTGGAAACCTGGAAGACGGGGCATATCCTCTGGCTGATGAACTGGGTGGCCGTGTTTATGCACTCCTCCCGGTCCTTGATGAAGATGGGAATCTTTCGCGCTCCTGGGCTCTTCAGAATCTTGGTAATCTGGCTGATGGTCTGCTCGAGAATCTGAGGTGGGCAAATGTCAATCTTGGTAATGACGACCATCACCGGGACGTTGAGTGCCAGAGCAATGCCCAAGTGCTCTTTGCTCATGCCAATCAGGCCGTTGTTGGCCGCAACCATCAGCAAGCAGTAGTTGGGGCTGCTCGACAACAGACCAAACACGGTCGTTCGCAGGTACTTTTCGTGACCTGCCAAGTCAGTGAAGGTAATGACCTTGGCGCTGCGTTTTCCAATCTCTTCCCACGACAGTTTTCCTGGTGATCGTTAGTGAGTCATTCTGACGACAGAAGATAGAGAGGTGCCTACTCCCAGGAGTATCAGAGACAACAACCTCTCCAACAGTGTCGAAGCCTAGGATCTCCATGCCGACGGAGCTGGTTCTGCCCGTCTCAATCTCGTGCTTATGGCGGAAGAGGTTCACTCGTGCGCGTCCTCTGCCATCGTCGAGGTCACCCTTGACCAGGACTCCCAGAAGAGAACTCTTGCCAGCGTCGACTATGATGTACGGGTTAGCCTGTTTTCACTGCTGTTCTGATGCTGCGAAGAGACCAGCTCGCCCACCAAGCAGATCATGGGCAGACGCAGAGGGCACATACCGTTGCCAACCACGGCTATTCGGGTCTCAATAACATCCTCTACTGTTGCTGGCGTCTGGCGAATCATGATCTTGCCGCTGCAATGGCTGTCTTTGCCAGACTGAGCACTCGGGGCCTCGACATCGCCACCGACGTTCTTGGTGATGAGCGTCTGGCAGTCGGCTCGTATCCTCTTGGCCGCCTCCTTTAATCTGGTGTATGCAGCGTTCCATTGCTCTATTGACAATGCCATCGACTCGCCGTTGTTCTCGAAACCAAGCTCGAACACGGCCTCCCCGTGGCCCTCAGCCATCCTTTCCTGGAGCACTCCCTCCAACTTCTGAAGTGTGTCGTCATCGGTGCTCAGAAGGAGGTCTTTCAGCCGGGCGCTAGGAGTAGGCTCGGCTAGGTCGAGGTTGTCAAAGAGCTCATCAAGTTCGGCATGCTGATGTTCAGGGACTTCAGTGACCTTGGAAGTGTCGGTTGATTTGGCGCTTGGGTATCGTAATGCCTGCTGCTTCTCAACGTACTCGGCAAAGTCGCTAAGAGCCTAGAGTAGAGTGGTTAGCGACGATTAGGGCGAAGAGGCAATCGAACTCTTTGGGGTTTCCATACAGCTTCGCCCTTACGCTTCTCATGCGGTAACGACTTTATGTTCTTGCTCGTCATGGTGGGGTGATGGAAGCAGTTATATTCGTATCCTAAGGATCATTGATACGTGTCAAAAGCAGTACAATGGGGTTGTGAAAGATATCTGATGGAATTGATCGACGGGAGTGCAATGCAGCGTGTCAAGGCTATATAGAGGGAGGGGCGAATTTTAGTTCCGACAAAGTTGGCGTCGCGACGGGACAGTGAAAGGAGTCATCGATTGACTCGGAGCGGCGAAGTCTAACGGCAGGCAGTGCCGCAGTGACAGTCGAGGCCACTTCCACCTCCACACCACGCCCGGGTGACAGAATGCCCCGCTGCTTTACTTTTAGGCCGCTTATTCTGGGGCCAATTATCCCCTGCCGGTTTCCTGAAATGTATCTTTGTTATATGCAACAGCCCTCGCAAGTAGCGCCTTTCATACGAGGATCCCGAATCAGGACAAGTTCTGACCTGCTGAGCATTGAGCTGAATCACTTGGTTTGGCCTCGCCCAGAATACAGTATCGTACCCATATTTTTACATATACATAGAGCATTAAGGCATGGTAGGCGTGGTTGGAATTCAGTGATGGGCGAGTCTAAAGCAGCGTTGACATCATGAGTAACTCGGCGGGGCTTATCGATAAGAGCTTTGGCACGGGCCAGCATCAACCTACCTACCTTATGCTGTGGTGACGCCTGGATGGTGGTGGATTTACCTACTAAGGTAAGGTCATTGCAGAATGCGGAGCCCCGGATTGTGTCTTGACTGAAGTATCCGTAAGATACCTAATCACAGAATGGCGGTTCTATCAATCTTCAGCCATGGCGACCCGCATGGCTGGATACACTCATCACAAAGGTCGCGGCAAACGGAAGTCGAAGTTTCTGTGACTCAGGCACTCAATTGCTTGCTTGTGAGTTGATTTGCGGCTGTACCCTGTTTGCTGCGCCTCTTGCCGGACCTGATCAACTGCTGCCAACCAGGAGCAAGAAAGAGTCATCAAAGTGTTCGGAATAGCACATCTAGAGCTTTCGAAAATCCAATTAAATGGAATAGAGAAACATAAAGCAGGGTGCGCTAAAGCGTGCTCCATTGCTAGGAATGTCTATTTGAACTGCAAACGACGATATTGAGTGTATGGTTATAATGGGTAAGTCTGCCCAGCTGTTCCTCAGCCGTGATAATGAAGCGTCCGAGTGGCCCTAGCTACACCATCGTACCAATACGCAAGTTGTCCCAGGCTGTAGTGGAGTAGATTCTGCAACAGGCCCAGGGGTGCTGATGTGGTCTCGGGATGAGGGTATATGGAGAGAGACCGCATTGATGATATTCGTATGAAGAGTTACATCTTTTCCTCTCCGGTGTCGCGACAAGAGACGTCAAAACGCGTTGTGAGCGGTGAGATGTTGTCGTCGGCTCGGGTGTACTTGGTGTTGACTCAAAACCAAAGCCCCTTCGCGGCGATGGTTGATGCGTGATCCCCCAATGGTTATGAGGACGTTTGAGGCGAGATGAGAACCACGCTATCACCTGCGAACTTGTTAGACTTTTGACTAGTTCCTAGGATGTGCTGCAACTTACCACGAACAAAGAGCATTTCCGACTTTCTGCTGATGGTCTGCGGTATACTGTCAGCATTTGAAGAGACATCAAGCTCATCGAGCCTTCTCACCTTCACTTCCTCATCTTCTTCATCCTCATCTACCACATAGATGGTCTCCTCGACCTCACCTAGAACAAGGTTGCAATGACTGTCGTATGCCTGTGATACGAGTTAGTATGCCTCATACAGCACCGAGACACGCATCCCAACTCACATGAAGTCTGCCCTTGAGCTCACGGTCACCTCTCAGCTTGACGAAAACCATTTCGTCGAGCAGGAGCTTGACGAGGTCAAGAGGCTCCTGAACGTGCGTGGTGTCTTCGCCGGCGTCTGCCATGGTGATTTGAAGAATGAAGTTCGGGTCGAAGAGAAGGGAGCAGGGGGCTCTGTGATGAGATGGACCGGTGCGGTTCCTTGATATGAAGACACAGCGGTTCAACTGGGATGGCCGAGAGGCGATGGGTGGGGCCGGGTACAGGAGGAATTGTGCATTTTGCGCGGGCAAAGCTTGGCTGCACATCATTGGTCAAGCCCTCTCGGAGTCGGCAGAGAGATAGTCCGGCTGCTCAGCCCACAATGAGATTGAACCGTGCCACGGCACACCGGAAGGTGGGCCAGGAATGGGTCTTGCCCCAGGTCTGCGTGGAGCTTCCCGTCCCTTGTCCGGGATGGCACGGTTAGAGGGGAAGGGAGCAGGGCACTAAAGCAGGCACTTGCAGCACTTCTGTTGTAACTTTGAGCGGGTAAACAGGCACTGGCGAGCCACAAAGACAAGGAGGATGGCCGATGGATGAGGAGGAGGAGGCGGCGGCAAGCAACGGCGGCGGCGGCAGCGGAAGAAGCAAAGTTGGGGAAGCTGGGCTGTCGGGGAAAACGCCTCGACCTGCGTAAGCTGTGCTTGGGGGAGCTGTGCCTTCCTCCATGGCTTGCCGATGTGGTATGGTACGTCCCCCTTCGCAGTGAGGGGACAGCTTTGTGTTTGTCCTTTTCACTCAGCAACCTCCCCTCACGCGAGCAAAACGGTCGTTCAGCCACATCTTTGAAGAAACACAACTTCCGCTTGGCCGTGCCATTGGCCTCGAAGCACAAGACATGATTCGATACAGACCTTGCAGCCTTCCATTATGATACCAACTATTGAGGCTAAAGGCCTTCGACAGCTGCTGCGGCATCAAGGTCCCCCTCGCGGCACGCCCTCGAAAATCTTGGCTGCCCGATTACGAAGATGCTACGGGCATCTGCCCCCTTTTCCCATATCAACAGCTCCCGCTAGAATCCTAATTCCGCGAAATGGGCTGGACATATCCACGAGATGCATGTCCCAGTCGCATAAGCTCAGCTTCGACACCTCGGCCCCTGCGATCGAGTCGCACTCAGAGCAATCTGCCGACGCGCATCTCGCAGATTTGCTACGAGCGGTTCAATCACAGGATACAACCCAAATAGTGAAGAGCGTCAAAGGCCTAGCATGTCACCCACGAGCCATTGAGGCGGCAGACGCGTTGCAAAGGCTGCCGCCGACTACATTTTCGGAAATCGTGCGCTCCCTAGACCCCTCTCGCGTCGGCCCTCGCAGCAATGCAACCCACGGTTTGCGTATCGAGAATGGACTTGGCCAGTACAGCTCTCTTGCCTCGGTCGCTGATCGGTTTGGTGTTCCCAAAATCTACAAAAGCACCTTTCAGTCATTGCGTACGCTATTCGGTCTACGATCCTACCATGGCAGCGAGCCTTCTCGACTCGACTACGTCGTTCTCTTAAGATGCGCCGGTGCCGCATCCGATGTCCAGGCTGCCAAGGAAATTTGGGATGTGACGAAGGGGGAGGAAGATAGCCACCACAGGAATGGCCAGGACTATACCGAATACTTCAAGACTCGATTTCTCACAGACCCAGCCTACTCGCACAATGATAAGGCCAGGCTGCGAGTGCGACTCCGTGATTTACATGGCCGTAGGAAGAACATTAAAGACACCCGGATCTTGTGGCCCCTCGAGAGACTGAGACTTAGCCTTGTTGCCAACAGGAGGTTCACCTACGGCCGTGCTAGTTGGGAACCGACTCACGACTTACATCGCCTCCTCAGCTTGCCCGCCCCTGTCGGACGACTGAATGCATTCATCCGCAAAAAGCACAAAGTGGTGGACGAAGAGTACTACTGCGCGTACCTAGTAGCCTGCGCACGCGCTGGCTCAGTCAGGGAGATGACTCGAATTCTTTATAAAGTATGGGGCATCCTCATCACCGACAGAGATCATCGAGCAGCAACGATTGTCAAGGCCAACAGGGCGGACAGTATCAGGCGAACACCGACGCCAACACAGCCTTTGATCAACGCCATCGTGCAGTCTTTCGGTTGCACTGGTCATGTCATTCTAGCCAGAAAACTAATCGAGTATATCTCTGCAGAATGGGGCATCCCTATACCGCCAGATACCTGGTCGTCGCTCCTGGAGTGGACCTACCTAATATCTTCTAAACCGGTCACCCGAGAGTACAAGACTATGAGCGACAAAAACAGGGTCGTTCGGTCCAACGACGTGTTGGCTGTATGGGACGCCATGACGGCCAATCCCCATCTGGGAAAGCCCGGCTTCCGTGACCTTGACATTTACACTAGGTCGCTGGTTGCTTCTGGTAAGCTGGATGAGGCTTGGGACTCCATCAGACATACATGCGCCGAGTACGACTCACTTTGCAAGGATGTCGAGGCGGCTCTGTTTGAGACCCTTTTTCCATCGCCACCGCCAGCTTCAATATCTCGTCACCATCGACTAAAAGCACAGCAACACATGTCATGGTACTCCATCCAACGCTCGTGCCAGCAATGGTTGCGGCAGGCCAGCGTACGCGTACGCCGCGAGCCCGCGCTGGGATCCCAGATTATCCCTGACTTTGTCAACGATTTTCGCCGTTTTCTCCCTGATCCGATTACGTACTCGACGTATGGAGGCACTGTTAGGATCCTGAACCAAGACATCGCCGCACCCAAAACCAAATGGGTAAAGCAGATTGTTCGCTCTGAGCCAACTCGGAGGCTGGCTCCCGATCCAAGCCGGCCAAAGGTTTCCAAACCAGACGGGGCTACGGAGGATGCGGAAGCTGTACCCATTGTCACCGAGGCGGGCGACCCAGTGTATGAAAGCATGACGATTACCCTCAGACGATCAACCCGAAGAATGGTCCGCCAACGAAGGGAGGTCAGATTTGGAGAGCAAGAGAATCGTCTACGATTTGAGCTTGGCAAGTCGGCAAGTCAGGGGGTTGTGAATGAAGGTGAGGCGATTAGCACGGTTGAAGCTCTGAATTCGCAACGGTTACCACAGACCGGTCCCCTGTTCCGAAAGGAGGTCTTAAAGGCCTTGGTGTGGTAGATGGCAGAAGGCGGTCCATTTGGCAAGAGGAATCTGGAAGACATGTCGAGAGGACCCTGTCTGGTAGATGGACTTCGATAGATGATTCAATGAATTGAATTCCAATGTCATGAAAAGATTTATGTTCTGATGCGTTGCTACTGCAATACTTCTATCAATTGGGTACCGATGAATAATTGGAGATGTAATCTGTTCCCATCATCTGGTGTACCTCGTCTTCATTCTGTAACTGCAACGCTGATGATTTTTGTACCTCCGGCGATATATGTTGGTATCTACCCAAAGCACGTGGAGTCCATGCAAAAACGCCTGCTCATGATCAAGGGGGTGGTGGATGGGGGAATATGAGATGCTAGGTAGGATATGCCTTGTTTTCTTTTTCAATCCATGCTTTACCATCAACTTCTCTTTGCTCCTCCCCCTCTTTTTCTTCTCACTCTCGTGACTAAGATATCCCATACTTTTGCGCAGCTTACTTACGCCTTGGTCTCCTCTTCGGCCTCGACCTTTTCCAGCCGCAAGTCGTTGAGGACCATGTACCTGCTCAATGAGATCCATCCATAGCGGAACCAGACCATCTGGCTCTTATGCGCCGTGGTCATTGCGCTCCACGCCGTGGCCCAACCGCCCTTTGCGCCCAGCTCGCTGAGGAACACGAGCGCCGTCGGGTGGTAGTTGTCGTCTTCCTCGTCCTCGTCATCGCTTTCGTCGTCCTCCTTCTTTGGCTTCTTGGGCGGTTTCGGGGGGTTGCTGCCGGCCGTGGTTGCCCAGGAGAAGAGCGTGGGGATGGCGTCGAGGAAGTTGGTGTACTTGCGCGCAAAGGGGACCGAGGTCAGGGTGTAGAGATCGACGGGGGAGGGCCAGCGCGGGTTGGTAGAAAGGGCGGCGATAAAGGCGCGGGCACCGTGGTATAGTGAGATGTGGTTCGGGTGGGAAGAGACGCCGGTCGAGTCAAAGGTGATGAGGACGTCAATGTTGGCGTCGGGTTCCTCGCCAGCGGCTCGCTGGCGGGCGAGCTGCGGCGCAAAGGCGCGGCCGAGGAGGGTAGAGATCTTGGTCTTGTCCCAAACGTTTGTCATGGAGTCTTGAAAGTCGCTGGAGGTGTCGGGAGGCGGTCAGATTAGCTCGTCCAGGGTCTGGAGTGGAGTTGAGGGGCAGTGGGTTAGGAGGGGGAATTGCTCACGGGCTGTCAATGACGAAGACGTCGTGTTCCTGCTGCAGACCGAGCTTCATGCCGCTCTTGATCAGCTCCTTCTTGCGAGTCTCGCCCAAGCCGTCGGCGTTGCCTATACAGTTGCCCCTCTTGTCAGCCATGGCGTCCTTTTGCCCCTGCAACAATATCCCCAAGAAGTTTGCTGACCTGAACTCAAACACAGAATCTTGACATGATTGCCTGTATCCGGTTTGGTGAGGGCCAAAACTGTTGGCGCAAAGAACATGGCTTCATCATCCGGGTGTGCAATCAAGAGACAGATGCGTTTGTTCTCCAGGGTTGGGAGTCTCGGCGTGATCAGCGGGACCAGGTATATATACAATGCAGGCGCAACAGCCACCAGCAAGGCGCCGAGGAGCATTATCCAGCCCATTGTCAACTACAATTGTCGCAAATTCCAACACCGGGCCGCTCTGGTATACGATATCGTTTCGTCGGTGAGGAGGTTTCGAGTTCCCCAAGGTGGGGTTATTTTCGGGAGGAGTATTTCGAGGATGCGGTGTGGCGCGTGTCGGCGAGTCGCAGCCTCGCGCAGAAAGATGACGGGTCCGAAGAGGTCGCAAAAGGTGTATGCTGAGAAGGAAGAGTTCTCAGAGAAACCCAAGAGAGTCGCAAAGCAGCACTAGATACTCGATGGAGGTCACGAGGCAAGCAGCATCGCGCGGGAAAGAAGAGCAGAAGCGTGAGATGCCACCTTGCGATTTTGGGGGACCCTGGTCTAATCTCGGAGGAGCTTCTTAGCGACAACGGGTGGTGGTGGTGGTGGTGGTGGTGGTGGTGGCTGTCAATGGTGGTGTGGGTGGTCGCAAATAGCGGGAGACGATCGGCTGGGAAATTGGATGAGCTGGGGCCCGGACGATTCGGTGCCTCACTCACTCACGCTGCCTCCCGTCACCACCTCAGTTCGGTCATTCTGTCGCAACTGGCGCGCCATCTGCGCCGTCGGTGTGTGGTCGCACCCGTTCCCTTCCCGAAAATGCAGGCGGTGACAGATCCTCGCGGAACGGGGCCCTGACAACACTAAATCCGCCCTGAGGGGCGAGCGACGCCTGGCAATTGGCCCTCCGGAGCAATGTGTCAGGCGACAGGGCATGGCCGCATGGGTTCGTTTGGTCACTGGACCGATGTCCTGCAGCAGGGGCCAGGGGAGCTTTCTACCTTTATTTTTCCAGGTGCAGGACTTCCCTGACAGCTGGTGAGCTCCAGCCCGGCAGCGAGCTGATGGCGGGACAAGGAACTGTCAAACTGTAAACTGTGTCTTTGTCAGCCAACCTAAGCAGCTCAGCACGCGACCAGGCGAAGACATCCGACGACAACATACCTTGCAGCTGCCACTTAGCTGCATCTCACAGACGGAGAGACCTCTGTATTGGCATCGCCGAAGCTTGAGGTGTCCCTGAGCGGATTGGCAAAGGACGGCGAGGGAAAAGTCTCAACCACGGCTCATCGAGTGTTCACTCGCAACCTCAAACATGGCCAAAAAGGGGACCAAGGAAAAGAGGGTGAAGGATCCTAAAGGCATCCCCCTTGCCCAGCCTGATCGGTCAGCTCCCAGCGAAGCCACTTTGCTGCAGATGGCCCAAGATCGTGGTCTTTTCAAGCAGGCCGACAAGGATCCGCGGAATAAGAATTTGCCCAAGGGTGCTGTCCGAATTGACAGGCCGGGTAGCGAGGATAGTGACGATGATGAGGACGACGAAGAGGCCTTGTTGTCTCCCTTGATGGAGCGCATCATGGACACACTGCTCTGGACTGTAAGTCTTGCCATGGTACACGGCACCCTCGACGTACTCGTCCAGAATCAGTATGCCAAGGAGATCGAATGGCCCAATGTCTTCAGCCGTACCCTCATTGCGTTGATGGGTGAGTTTCAAGTCGGTCCCCTTCATTCTGCTCCTTTGCTGATGACGACGGTGGGCGGTAGTGCTCTTCTTTCTTTTCTATAATCTCCATGCTTTCCCATCCAGCCCAAACCTTATCCCGGGACTGCCGGCTCGTTACCAGCATGCCATTCGACAGGCCATCTTCTTCGTGGCCGGTGTGTGGGCTGGATGCCATCTGATTTACATCACCAACAAGTTCAGTTATCTGTATATCATGAAACAGGCCCCAACTCTGGGATGTGTATGGATTTGGTCGGTCTTGGAGCTTGACCTTCCCGTGGCGGTGGCCAGCCTGGCGGTGGCAGGTGCTTATTTGCTGCAAGGAGGGTATTCCATTAAATAGGCGGTTCACGACTCGTTATTTGGACCTCGACCGCTGGGTAGACTGCGAACTGGCCCGCCGGGGGTGCCCTCGATTCGTCAACTCGCTTGGAAGCTGTTGCGAGGGACTGGATAATCGGCGCGACCTAACGGGATCGGCCAACGGTGAATCTGGACCGTGGCTGAGTCGACTCCGATGCATCAGACGATAGACGAGGTCCTCCAGCTGATGGATCTGGGCTCTCTGCTCAGTTATTTGATTCTCCATACGAATAAAGCTCTCTTCAGCCTTGGCTTCCGTCCACGTCGTCCTCGATTCTAAATCTCGAATCCGACTACGACAAATGATCAGTAATAGCGACCAACAACTCGTCAGCAAAAGTATCTTACGAAGAAATCATGCTCATTTGCGTGAACTGCACTCTGGCCGTCAATGCTTCTCTCTGGCGGACCAGCTCCAACGTTTTGGTCCGGACCGGCAGCCAAGCCATGGCCACATTGGTCGTGAAGCTCCAACTCTTGGGCACGAGAGTCCATTTACCCTGATTCTCGGCGTCTTGGCCCGCAGCCTTAGTCTCGGCCTCGGCCAGCAGTTCCAGGATCCGTTTCTCCAGCTTAATCAAATCGTCCATCACAAAGGCGTACATCTGATATTCAGGTTGGCGAGAATGGGGACCTCCCGATCTTTCACCGGCTGTGCGAACAAGATCTGATAGCCACGTGGATTCCGTTTTGAACCATGACAGCGAGGCCTTGACCCGGAAATACTCGTCGTCGCTGTTGCGCAGATATGTGATTCTGACGTACACTGCTGCGACAATAGCGACAACAAATGTGAGGATTCCAGCGACATTGGCCGCGATGGACAGAGGGCTGTCCTGCTGCGACGTCTGGTCCATCGGGATGGTCCAGAGAATGACGTTTGCGGCTCTGTTTCGGTGACGCCAAGTCTGCGAGAGAGAATTGTGACGAGGCTCGCACGCAGTCAATGTTTGACTTGCTCCCACGGACCCGACAGCAAAGGTCCGAAGGGAGCTTGGGAAGGAGCTTCCATTTGAAGAGAAGTTTCTAGGTGCCAGGTGAAAGGGACCTACCCCTGTGCCCTGGGGCATCCGTCGCTAAGATTTTAGCGCCGTTCTTGGCTTCCCGTAGTGGGGCCGTAATTCACCTCGCTACGGCCCCGCGTAATCTCGAATTGTCGACGACAGACTCCCGATGTTGCAGTTGATGTCCTCCGAGTTTCCGAAATGACGAGAATTCTCTATATCACTGCAGTTATTTTTGCGGTCTTTATATGCTCTCTTCCGGTTGTTGTCTCTAGATTTGACGATGCCAGTCACCTCATACACCGACGAATGTCTGGGCCAGATCTTAAGACTGGAATTCTTCATCTTTTGGTGTTGGTAAGGTAGGATCAAACAACGGCGGAACACAATCCCAAACATGAGGATCATGTGAATCGTCTAGTAAAACGGTTCGTCTATTTGACTTGTTTCCAGAGCGCAGAACCTGTGGTGCTCTCGGGGTGTTGAACTTTGCTCACCGGAACAATGATCCTGTCGATTATCGGAGAAAGCCCTCGCGGAAAGAGCCCTCTTCATATTAATGAGTCGCTGCTTCCTCAGGATCAGTTGTGAAATACCAGAAATATTCTGACCGCCCTCGGTTGACCTATTATGGACGAAGGGACACACTGAATTCCCTACCCTCCTACCCGGATTTCTTCCACCCTTCTTCTACTTTTTCTCTTCCCCATCCAACCAACCTTTCCAGTTTCCAATCCCAGCTATATCAACCAAACAAGCCCACCAACGAAGGTATTCCCAACTGTTTCCTAGGTACCGATCAAAGCTTCATTCTAACTAGGAATTCCAGCATCATCATCCATAATGTCTTCGCCCTACACCATCCCATACAAGGCCACCGCCTCGACCTTTGTGCCGGGCGCCGCCGCCCACCCCCCAGCGCCCCAAGATCATGCCGCAGCGAATATGCGGACGGTCCGGCAGCCGGCGGTCGCCGGACAGCCTCTTGCTGCTGACACTAGTCACAGCAATGCCCCGGTGGCCGTGGGTGGCGCCCCTCGGGATGCCATCCCGGCGAAGTTCTCGTCGGCGGTTGAGGCCGCTGCTGGCGGTGGCATTGCCATCGCCGCCCCGGGTGGCCTCCGGGGTGTTAGTGGCCCAGCTTCGGCTGGTGCTGCTGACAGCAGCGGCCAGAGTGGCCATCGTGGTGAAGCTGTGCCCACCACCAGCACTGTGAGTCTCCTCCCTTTTATATCCTTCTTGCTATCCCCCAATCAGTAACTGGACGTGAGAGAACAACCACAATGGCTCTTTCTTCATGTCCTCATTCCATCTCATGTTGAGTTACTGATCCTGCTTTACTGATCTGGCGCTGCCTGGGAGCTCTCCAATATCTATATAAAGCCCCCTTCTCTCCCCTTTGATTCTGACTTCTTTCTTCCTCCAGACCACCACCACCACTCCCTTTGGCACTGACGGCTGTGAAGAAATGGAGCAGCAGCTCCAGACTACTCAGGCCGAGATTGCTCGGCTGAAGGCTGAGAATGCTCAGCTCAAGGCAGACAGTGCAAGAACCAAGGCCGAAAATGGGAAGTTGAGGGAGGCCATTGGCACCGCTGGTCTTGCCTTTGACGAGAACGAGGGGCTCCGGGCCGTGATTCTGCGACTTGAGAAGGTGGCATCGCACAAAGTCATCCAGAACGAGAACTTGTTCCGGCAGATGGCAGACATCCAAGGCCAGGCTCTGGCTCTGAACCAAGATCGAGACAGGCTTCGGACTAAGAACCGCCTTCTTCGAGCTGAGCTTCGCCAGGCCATCAGGACACTTCTTGGTCTCCATAGCGAGAACATGGAGCTGAAGGACAAGGAAAAGGACGCCACTATGGGTATCCAGATCCTCACCGACATGCTTGCTGCCTTATACAACAAGATCGTTGATGACGCCCCGGATATCATGCCTACTCTTTCGGAGCGTGTGCAGAAGACTCTGGACCATGTATACGAGAATTGGAAGGAAGAGCAGTTCTTGCAGGTCTTTCACCCCGAGCAAGCGATTCAAACGACCTCGCCCTATGATCTGGTCCCTCGGCACACCCCGGTTCCTTCTCGTGGCGGTATCGAGTTCATCCCTCTTGAAGGCAACGAGGAAGATGAAGGTACCCTGAACGCCAGATCTGGTACTTCGACAGTCGTGCCTCCTGTACCGCAGCCGCAACAACCGGTGCAGCATCAGCCCCCTCCCCATGTTCCCAATCACAACATTGCCAATCCGCACGCCACTGGCTTTATACCTGGTCAGACCAACATCTTCAGGCTGATCATCGACTCCCCTGGTCAACAGTTGTATGAGAACAACATGCCCCATGTAGACAGTCCTCACACGCCTACCACCGGTGGCCCTGCCCCTCCTAATGGCGGTACTGTCAGCCTCTCCGACAACCTTTACGATCCTGATACTCCCACCCTTCATGGCGCTTCTAACGCCGTTGACGGTCGCGAGGATCCCCGCGATGGCATTACCATGACCAACGACGAAACCGAAGGTCACGAGGATCTTCAGACTCCCCAGACTCCACAAACTCCCACCCCTCTTCGGCACCACGGAGCGAATGTTCTTGGAACACCGGATGCTTGAGTGTGCCCACTGAGCTGAGTTTTCTCGATATCTTCCGATCAGGTAAGTCCTTGATGCCAATGTCTTTGATGCTTGACTTCTTTCACTGACTGATTGTTCAGGCAAGAGCAGCCACGATTCCCATGAGCGCATTGATTATGTCCACTCGCACTAATGCATGCTTGGCAGCAAGGCGTTACGACAAGTCAAAAGAGCTTTCCTAGCGCATTGAGCTTTGCAACAGTTCTTCTGGGTGTCTTGGAGGTTCCGATTGCTTTAAAAAGCTTCTATCTAGGCTTCAAAGTACCCTCTAGATTTCCTTGGAGTCTTGGTCCCGGCTCATTTTGGCCTTTCCGCAATCACTGCTCTTTGGTCACGACTTGGCAACAACGATCAAGTTGGCATAAGAAATCTCCTTTTCTGTGGTACGACATTCGACTTATGCCATTAAGCATTAATGGTCCTTCTTCATCGGTTACGTCATTCGACTCTCGCCTTTCGGCATCAACAATTCTTTTTTTCAATAGTCACGGCATTTCTTCTCTTCCCTTTTCTTACACAAGACCTGCACTTTAATACACATGGCTAGCATGTGGCAGTTGTGCATTGGTTTCTTGCATGGGAAGCACGGTTTTCATTTTACCCCCGCCTTTAACAGACAGCTTAGCTTATCTGCGGATGGCATCGCAGGTTTAGTTTCGGAACGGATTGGTATTCAGGGCTCAGAATGGAATCATAAGGGAAAGGGTCATGGCGATTGCGGCTACCAGATGGACATGCAAGGCTCACAATAGCAAGCAGGGTTATCATAAAGAAATCAGACGCCAACATCTCGTCAATGAAGTCGGTGGCCTCGAGTGAATGTGTGACATGTGGTGGTCGTTGCCATTAGGTTAAGCTCTGGGCAGTGAATCTCTTGACGATAGTGTTGCTATAAAAGCTGGCCTCTCCTTCTTGCAGACTGGAGTAGCCCGCCCAAACCAACCTCCGAGAGCACCACAAACCCATTGCTAAAATTGACTCTATAGATTGCATCTCACATGAACGAACCACCGCAGCCCCCACAACCCACAGAGCGCGAGGGAAACCCCTCATGGGGCAGACTAAGAACAGTGAGGCGAGCCCGCAACTCACCCCACGACATACCCTGCGGCGAAGAATGCCTAGTATACCCAAAAGGTAAGACCAACCAGACGCCGACCGGAATCATGGGTAGGATCGCCCGATATCTAGAACTAGACCTCGAGAGCCGACCCTCAAAGGACGACGTCTGGATGGAGAGCAAGAGGAGAAAGAGGCGTCGTGGCGGGAGACATCGGCGCTGCCCACGGCCGAACCAGTTTCATCCAGGTGAGGAAGGAGGTTTGGAGGTTGCGGAGGAGACTATGGATGGGGAGTTGGTTGAGCCTGTTGCGTGGGAGGTAGGTGGCGCCGGCGGTTGTGGTGATGGTGGTGGTGAGGTTGGGAGAGTGTACCCTCCTGCTGCTGTGCGCGGCCAGGAGGAGAGACCTGCTGATCGGGTGGCTGCCGTTCGGGGAGGTTGCGAGAATCCGGCTGCTGGGTCTGCTATCGAAGAGGGTACTTCGGTGCTTCTGTGTCCTGGACAGGCGAGGGAGGGGGAGGTGAGGCTACCTGGCGCTGTCGAGGTTCCTCGAGGTGAAGGCGCTGATCCATCTCAGAGATGGGAAGGAGGTTCCGGTCGAATTGCAACTAGTGGTCAGTGGCGGTGGTGACATATCTATCAATTAAAGAGAGTTGATACAGTTACATTATGGTTTGATCATAATGAGGAACTGGCCTTCTTTGGGACCTTTCACGAACCCGTGGTTCTTGGAATACCTCAGGTTGGCGAAGTCGAGTGATAGACACCACTGTGACATCAGTGCATGGTCTAGAGTGAGCGATAGAAGAATCAACGGCAAGGCTTGAGTTTCCTGGAGCTATGACTGGAATCATAGGGGAATATTCAGGCAGGCTTTTAGTCAAGGAAGATGTGATGAGCAGATTGACACATGATCTAAGAAGCAAGATGATCAACACGTGTACATTTCAAGCAAGGCGCAGCTAACAACATTACCACTTCGGTGCACTTGCCTTCCTCTTTGTATGATGTGCCTCCTATGAACTTCTGGTGTAGTTGTCTGTCTGCCTCAAGGAGTTTTCGTTGGTCGCTCGCATATCTGATGCTGTACTCTAGGCAAGGAAGTCTTGCGAATCAACAAACTTCAATTAGCCCTTCAAGTACCTAGCGTCTGGTACTGTTCAAACAAGAAAATCATGATGCCAAGCGTTTCTTTTAAAAGGAGACCACACTAAAACGTCAACCATTCAAGACCGTTGAGGTAGAATTCCAGCATCGCGACACGTAAAAGACTTGAAGAGGAATTGACTCAATGCAGTTTCGACTCTGACGCCTGCCCAACACCTACCCTTAACTCGACATTCTCAAATGTTCTGAACGATTGGATTTTGAAACTCGGAAGTTTCGTTCCACGTCCCAGGCACCAGCGGCGAGTCCGCCCTCAAGTCAGCCCGCAAGGCGGCCATCGTCAGCCGCAAAACTGGGACCGCTCCGGGAAAGAACACCAAAAATCCCCCACAAAACAAGCTCCGTTCCGCACCCGCACAACGTTGCACAACCTCACTCGACTTCACTCAACGTCACCTCATCTGGCCCGGAAAAGAATAGAAGCAACATCACGTCACCAGAATTTCGCCTCAATCCTCAGCAAAGACAGCCTTGCAAACAAAAGTTACCAAAGAACACCATCATCGCCATGGCATCCAACCCCGAAACCGCTCAACCTCCACCACGAACCCAACCTCAACCGCGTCCACCACCACCCGCGTTCAACCTCACCTACCCCCCCTCCCTAGAACCCTACAACATCCCCGCGACAACTTGGCTCACCGCAAACTCCAAATCATGGGACGGCCTCGCAACAGGCGCCCTCGTCTTCTCCCCCTCGACCAACAAAATCCTCCTCCTCCAGCGCGCCGCCCACGACAGTATGCCCCTACGCTGGGAGACGCCCGGCGGTGCAGCGGACCTAGAGGACGTGAGCCTGTTTGCAGCGTGCGCGCGCGAGCTGTGGGAGGAGGCTGGGCTCGAGGCCGTGGAGATTGTGAGAATCGTAAGCGAGGGGGAGGGGAAGGACCCAGGGAGCGTGTTTACGAATCGGACTGGGACGAGGGTGTTTTGTCGGTTTGCGTTTGAGGTTACGGTGAGGGATGACGGTGATAGGGGGAAAGGGGTGGAGGAGATGGTGAGAATCGATCCGGAGGAGCATTGTGATTTTGTGTGGGCTTCTGAGGAGGAGGTGAGGAGGGAGAGGGTTGGGGAGAGGGAGATTCCGATTACGAATAGGCAGATGGCGAGGTTGATTCTTGATGGGTTCCGGAGGAGGAGAGAGGAGGTCTAGAGGGTTCATGGCTGGTGAGGAGTTGTCGAGCACAGAATGGTCGGTTGTCCTTTATGTCAACGAGGACGAGGAACCATAGAGATAGATGAGGCTATTGGAGCAAGATCAGAAAGAATCGACACCATTACGAAGTTAGTGTTGCTCCGGCATAGAGGACAGGATATCATTGCGTGAGACGAAGGAGACAACCATAATGATGATTTCATCAATGAAAGATACTCGAGTGTGCATACCGTTTGGATACTCAAATGCATTCCCATAAGCCAATATGGCGTTCTTGCCTTCGTGATGGATTACTCGCTCTCATGTATCTGTGCCAATCATCGCCTTGATACATCCGTAATCCCTAGGCATCTAATAATCAAGACATAACACCAAAGCCGAACCCACCCATACATCCTTCATGCTCACAACACCATGACTCTCAGTTCAGAGTACCGCTCAGTAGCCCGCCCCTGCCGGAGTCCAAGGCCCTTCACGATAGATATGGTCCCGACGGCCACTGTCGCCATAAGAAACAACAGCCTTGTGCTTCATAGCCCCGGTGAGTGTCAGCCGCTGGTCAACATGCAATACTTTATAGAGGGCAATCAGAAAGAGAAAAGAGAAGTTCTCCAAAGAAGCGCAGCGTACTGAAAGTTTCCTTCATCGGCGTTCAACCATTCCATAAGGCTGAGTAGAGATAGCTTCACCATGGCTGCCAGACCGCGCATCTGGCGCACTTCAGCCTGGCAAGGGGACAAATAGCTTCTGGGTGTAAGATAGCTTTACTTGGATGGACTGTGAAGAGCCCAGAGGTATGAAGTGGCAGCTGGTATACTCGATATCTTGATAAACAGTGTCGGCTGACATACGAGGATATGATAGTGAAAGGTGGGGGTTCAGAAGTCATCACGGCCTTCTTCATGTCAAACATGGATACATGAGCGTCAGCTGACGCCCCAACGACACCCTTATGTTTACGAAAGGTCGCAACGTGGCGGCTGAATCCTTTCTGGGTCTTGCGAGCAATCGGAGCTTTTGCCATAATTGCCAGGCCAATCAGCGCAAACCACTCCCAAGATGATGGGTTGAGGAATTCAGTAAGCAATTACAGGAGCGATCGCCAATAAGCTGCTGCCTACCTTGAGTGCTAAGAATTGCTCTCGCCATCTTGCAAAGTTCACTCTGATCCTACCCGTAAGATCATCAACTTTTGAAATATCAAAAGAAGCCCGCGATGCTCCCAAACCTGGGCATGATCGTCGGCCCATGGTGTTTCTATGAAGTGCTGATCTTCGGGCGAGAGATGCCGGCGCCAGGGCGGAGCCGAAGCGAGACAGCGTTTTGCTGCGTGCAATGGGCCGAGGGATCACTACTGCGGCCCGACGCCGGCGGTAGATTGAGGCGCAGAATTCGCAACATCGGCGATTCAGGTACCAAAGTGCATGCATCTGCAAGCCTGCACGTTCGAGAGGAAGGACTTGACAAACTTGGCAGATGCCCTGTTCGACTCAGGGGTAGTTCGTGGGCTGGGTGCACTCCAGGGTCAAAGCGAGCAAGGTAAAGCGAAGCAAAGGCTTTGGGGCTTTGAGGCCTCTGCCGATCTAATGAATGCATCTTGTTTGAACGTGGAGCAACAATAGTTTGGCGGCAATTTGAATTCCCTAGTAGGGCGTTCCACTGGAGGCGATGGCTTGTCAATATCATGCCGAACGCGATAGCGGCTTGGTCGCTGGACTTGATTCAAGGTGCTTAGGACCGTAGCCTGGTAGCAGCGTACCGCGTCAAACGAGCTTCAGACATGACTTGATGGAGCTCAGAAGCCTCAAAGTGCGAATCCCAAGCGGGCACACCGGTCATGCCGGAGCTCCGGGGGCACGGGTCTAGACCTCTGCAGACAGCCCACTAAGAGCCTTACACGGCCCGGACAGCGCTCGTGGCGGATTTACTTCGTCATTTGCGGCTCAGGCTCGGTGGTGCAGAACTGTCGTGATAGCGTGGAGCGTAGTGTACAGGTAGTAGTGTCGTCGTTGTTGAGGCCAGCTCCATAGCTCCTGAGCTTCAGAGGTGGAAATGGCGCTACTTCGATGATCGGCAATGCCCGACGCATACCATCATCAGGGCTGCCCAAACCGTTGTCCTCCTCCACCCTGTAGCAGCGTAGGGGAAAATTAGCACAGTTAGTCAGGTTCCTAGCGCAGGGTCCCAATGATTGAGGCGGAATCATTGCCAAGGGGGGGGGGGTCTCGAAGAGATGGAATCTATTGCTGACAGAGGTTGATTCCATGGCGTAGATCTGACAGAAACGAGCAGCGGATGACACGAATGAGGCGAGCGCAAAAGTAAGTGGCCTTTGGCGTTGCCATTTTGGGGAAGCCGGCAAGGAAACAGAGCTGAGTCTCGAACTTGAGCAATGAGGGGTCGTTGGGCGGTGAGTCCCAACATCCCCAGTCGGAGGCAGAACCGGAGAGGAAAGATGATCCGTGGAGTGGAAATAGTCTGGATTATTCGTCTGTAGGTTTTCGTAGACTGTATCTGTACCTGTAATGTGGATGTGGTGGGATGGTTGGTGAGGCTGCTCATTGGGCTCCGCTGAAGTTGGTTATTGGCATGCCGGGGTTTGAAAAGCCATGATCGGCGCGCCTACATCCAAGACACCCCGCGAAGGAGAAGGAGAGCGAACTACTGAAGAACGACGTGGGGTCTGCAAAGCTTTGATGGCTCATGCCGAAAAAAAACCAAAAAAAAAACCAGGGACTTTGTGGATCTATGAGGCACAGTAGTAAGTATCCACGATCTCTTCATGCTGGTCTCAGTTTCGTCCAAGGACTGGACTCCATCACAATACCTATCTCAGGCTCCAGTCCTTTCGTGATGAGGCTTGATAAGTTTGACAGGCGACTTGGTACCTAAGCTGTGGCGAGTTGCTTCGTGGAGGCGGATGGATATCCATTCTACTAGTTCGCCTTGTGCTGGGTGACACTGACGGGAGGTGAGGCTATGGGTGATGGGATTCGCTGTTGTTGTCGTGAAGATTTGCGGTGAGCTAGTTCGGGTAGGTCGTCAGTCCCAAGATTTGGATACGACTCTGCGTGTGCCTTGATTGATAGCTGGTGACCCATGGCAATAATACCGGCTGGATTTGTTTGTTGTTTTTGGCGACTCAGACTGTACATACTCTGTAGTCTGTACGGACCGTAACCGTACTCCATCCCCAGTAGTCTCTTACGCCCGCCCGATGGCAATATGGGACGACTCGAGCTTGACCGCCGCAATTGGACGTGGGTTGACATTGACAATGCATCGTTGCCAATTGGGGAGAAGTGAGAAATCTGATGGTGCGTTATCATCGCGGATGACAATGAATGGCAGATGACAGCAGCAGCGTCACATTGCGGCGAGCTTTCCGCGGAGTCCAATGCAGCAGGCGTCACGGATGCGGAAGTGCCAAAGTGCTTGTGGCTGCGTGGCAGGAGCATCGATTGTGCCTACCTCACCTAGGTGCCCAGATTGCGAAGGTACCTTGCTTTACTGAAGGACCTGGGACTGCAGTACGCCTGATAGTGGCAGTGACGATGCGGAAATGTGTTGCCGTGCTTCTTACCTGCTTTGCGAAGGTAGGTACAGCCGTACTGCTGCTTCTTTCCTGTTGCAACTTGAAGCTGTGGCTGATTGCTTCCTGCCTCTTTCTTGATGAAATCAATTGCGGCTGGCCGGCACTCCCGCGGGGCAGGAGCAAGATGCCGTGCAACCTGCACTACAACTGCCTGCATCTACATGGTACAGTGCTGCAGGCGCATAGGTACCCACGTACCTTCCTCAAAGGTGCAGGAAGTTACGAATCCGCGACTCACGCGGCCCCACTCCCCAGCTGCTGATGACCTCAGTGGCGTCGATCCTCGATCTTGCATTCGTGGCATTGGCTGCAGCCAGCTGGACTGTGGATACCGACTTCCCCACACCTTCCCAGTCGAGTTTTTCAATCCCCATGTGCTTCTTTCCCTTTTCGCTCATGATTCCTCGGTCATCAGTCATCAGTCAGCATTTTGTTGCTCTGCCGTGTTTCCCCCTCCCATCGTCACTCTATTGTGTGTATTTGGTTCCATTTAGTCCCGAAAGGCATCTGTCAGCTAACTTTTTTCTTCTGTTCTTTCACCGGCTTCGGAAGAGGACCGACCGGTAATGTGGATCTTCCGGCCCTACCAAGCCCTCTGAAGTCCGTTCTCGAGGAGACGAGGGATATGGATAGACTCTACTCCGTGCCTACCTGCTACTTCACGTGGGGAGCCGAGAAAACGAACTCGAACCATGCGATGACTTCGAGTCAATTCCAAGAAGCCTCGCTCGGATCCGCGTCTGGATTCTGCTTCGGTTCACTCGCGAACCCTCAGACCCCTTGCCCGAACTCTGCTCAGCATCCTCCGTGAATGCAGTGACGCACTTTGCGTCGGCTTATCCTTGATTTCCTCCCCGGCTTGCACAGCACGACGGCACAGCGTGGACGCCGCCCAGCTCAGCACAACCCAGGCGGAGGCACTGGAGTGGAACACAGCTCACAATATGATCTATTCGACTCTTGCTAGCTCAACCTCGACCTTGCAGACTCATCCCCTCACACGGTTACACATGCACTTACAAGACACAAGACACCACATGCTATGCTACTTGCGGTACTCCCAACCAACTCACAACCAACTGCATGCCGCATAACCGCGCTACTGTTTCTTGTCGACCTCCAAATCTCGCGCTAGAGCCTTGTTTCGTCCATGGTCACCCAACCTGCCGCAGGCCTGCTCGCACTCACCCGCCCACCACCTCTCTCGGAAGGCTCTTGAGGCTGCTCTGTGCCTTGATCTGATGGCCTCGCCAGACTGACCCGGACACGAGACCTGCCTTACACGCACATCTTTGGTTGACTCGCACTCTGTTGCAGTGATGCGTCTGCGGTCTGTTAGGTCATAGCCAACCACTCCCTTGCGAATTCGCAAAGGTCTGTCAACCAAGTTGCGCGCAAAATACCTGTCTCGGGCGCTCTCAGGATGCTGTGGCTCTAAAGACTCTGGCCCTTGACTGGCTGCCATGTCAGACAGCTGCACCCAGCAAAAAAGGTGCCGTCATCATGTCCCTTTTTAGGGTCGACTATCAGGCACCGGCCCGCCCTGGCGCGCTGACAAGCTTACTGTCCCTATCTCCGCCTCCCCACACTGCCGGGTGCGAATCTTTCGCTGCCTCCCAACCCGGAACTACGCAAGTGTTCTCTTGGCATTTTCGTTCAACGGCCGCCGTAGTAGCTGCTGTAAGGGACTCACAGTTTTCGAGCGAGCCAGCAACTCTTGATAATACGTGGGTTCGAAAGTATTGCGAGAGTACGCAGAACAAAGACTGTAGCATAGCAATCCGAGCTCAATAAGGAGCTCCATCGAGGCCTCGTCGTTGGGCCCCAATCGAAGAGCCTACAGATCGCGGAGGATCGCACTTAAGTCCGCCAGGATATCCTCGATACCCTTTTTCAACAGTCATCGTCAGCCCTGCAATTTTCACCGCCCGCAACTCGCTGGCCAGTTCGTGGCATACTGTTGCCCTGGGGTTTCCCATGTCGAGAAGCCAAAAGACCCTCCTTCCGCCATACGTACTCCTCTTTTCCGATTAGGCCTGCTTTGGAACAGCTTTCTTCCAAGGAACAGCGCCAGTCAAGATCTTGGACTGCACTTTCTGTGCTGCGTGGCCCCCTGTTGACACCCCAGCCACTAGGCTCAATGCAATGAGCCCTAGGTTAGCCTGGCCAGCCCGAATTCTACAATTTGGAACACCAAAGTTGAGATGGCAGAGATTGCGTCTCAATGCGAGAGAATAGGAGATGGAGAAGGCCATGATGCAAACGGGCGTGCGAGTGAAACATGGCCGTTTGGCGCCACACGGTTGGGAACTGGTGCACAGGCAAACAATCAAAGTTCCAGAGTCACAACTACTTACCTACCCTGCCTTCAACCTCTGAGCATGCGGTAATGTGTTGCGTTGCCCTTCGCCGCATCCCATCATTTCACACACACTCTTCGAACTGTCAAGTGTCAAACCTTCAGACCATCAAGCATCTCAGTGGGACGACACCCATTATTCTCGCAAGATGACTCGGACATGGCGATTTCCAAGAGAGTGTAGCGCATGACTCTCTAAAGGACCAATGAGGGTGGCGTGGGGATCTCACAGGACAGCCAGGGCACGCAGGGTTTACGGCGGTTTGGTCTTGTACTTCTTGGAAGTCTCGGCGCCGCGGCGGCCATCCATTGAAAGTCAGAGACATTTGATACTCATGCCAGGCCTCCAGGAGTCCAGCCATCCCATCAAGTCGCGTGTTTTGGCATTGCCCTACCTACAATGGCAAAGGATTCGTACCTGCGAAAACACCACACAGCGCCTCCGTGGCTCCGCAGCTGTGAATGGCGGGCCGAGTCTTGGGATATGGAATCATTGAATTTCAGCGTACGCGATATACACGGAAAAAAGGATTGCTCCGGCAATTGTCGTTCGCCGTTCGTCGGTGCCTCAGTTCTACATCTGCGAAATGGCCAGGGCAATGTTGCTCAGTAACCAACATTTGATCATTTGTCAATTGGCGGGCAAAAAGTCCGGCACGTATGCCGAAGCTCGGCAGACGGGGGGATCTGCTCATCGCCTAACTTATTTGGTGCCAGATCACGTTGATCTGTCAAAAGAGGCAGAACAGAGTTGAGACTACAACGGCACTAGGACGCAATAGACGCGCTGACACGGCACATTGAGACTTTTGGTGGCCGCGGCACGATACGTCGTGACGACTGTGCTCGAGCTTGACCCGCCGTAGTGATTACCGAAGCATTTCTTCTCATCTTCCAGAAGGATATCAACAATAACGGCCGGGGGAAAAGAGGATCGCTCTATTTTTCGACATTGAGAAGTATGTACTCGCCAACGGATGATACGGCGCATCATTGCCCGATATTGCTTGCGGCTACGCCCTTGGATCGCGGCTCATCGCATAGACCTGCCAAGGTCTTGCTTGCCAACGAGTCCCGATAGACAGCAGGCGGCAAGGCATGGTTCGACAACATCCCAGGTGTGCCCTGGGGAGCGACCAAACGGATTCGAGACTGTCACACTTGTCTGTACCGAATACGTCGTGCTTCATGTCAAATATGAGAAAGAGCCAAAGAGCTATTGGTGAAGCGGCAGACTGGAGGTAAAGATGGTATGTACATGCAAGTTGCCGATAGTTGGCATGTGTACGGAGTAGAACGCAGGCTGCTCCCACATTGGTTTGTCGAATATTCGGTAGAGTCTGTCTCTCTCTTATCAAGCACCAGCCACACTGCCACGAATACAAACTCCA